TCTGAAATTTTCTAGAAATCTAATCTTAGCCCTTTCTCTTGATTTTAATTTTGAGTGACGATAAGCGTCACAATAGACATAAAAATGTTTGATTTAAAAATATTTAAAATAATTTATTATAAAAAATGAAACTAAAAGTATTTTATCAAATACAAAACTAAATAAAATTTCAATAAATCAACATAATTATAAAAAAAAAATGTTTTATACTTGAATATACTTTAAGAGATAGCAGGAAATAAATGTTCCCGTGTCATCAGTGGAGATCGAACCCCTGATTTCTAGGCTAATAGACTCTATTTTAATTTACCCTAAATTCCTTTTACTGCCTGGAAAAAAAAAGAACTTTATTCGGTTATATTTAGGAAATGTACTACACTATTCGTAACATTTATTTTAGAATATTCAGCTCAAACATTATTTATTAATTTTTCAAATAAAGAAATTAAGCAGTGCTAGTCACGAGCGATTAAATTTCAATATGTATTACGCTAATGGTTGATATGGTTAAGTGTGGATGGTTGATTGAATGTAAACAATAACAAGCTTCCTAAAACCGGAAGAAATTTAGAAAACTTCCGGTGTATCCCTCCGCTTATGTTATCCTTACGAGGCGATGTGTGAAGAGGCTAAATATTCTAAGAAGTTTTATTATTGTGATATGTGTTTAAATTTACGCGCAATTTTAGCATTCATGAGGGTTATTAGCATTCATAATTCCAACAGGTCGTGAGGTCAAAACAAATATAAGAAAATTGATGTTACATTATTAATAAAGTGTAAGGTGTGCTATATTTTAAATATCATCCCTTATTTGGCTATATTAGAGAAACAAAATGGCCGTTTATTTTATTTTTGATAGCATCATTGTACGCTTGTAAAGTCTCCGAATTCATTTGTTCCTCGTTTAGTTGAAATTTAAATTGAAAGAACGCGTTATAATGTAAACACTATGAGTGCACTAATATTGGATGGCACGCTTTTCAATCACAGGCGTAAAAAATTTATCGAACGGAGTCACCCGGCAGTCCTGCGACGAATTTTAACCCCTAGGGCCATCTGTGCTTAACTTTACACCTAGGAAAATTAAGCGAAAACTAAGCCTGAGTACATCACGACAGGTATGGATGGTGTTTTCTACACTGGGGAGAGCTCCAAGCTCCATACCGCCTATATTTCAGGGTTATTGTTTCCGTTGTATTTTAAAGCCATTTGGCTCACAACGTGAACATTATATTTTGAGATTTTTACAAACGTGGTATTTGATTACTTATTACTTGTGTTCACAATGCTAACAATACTTGTGTTTACAATGCTAAAGGTGCTGACACTAACGTAAGATGATGCACAGCTTGCAGCAAGAACAAACATTAATAAACTTATGGAAAGAGGCCAAATCAGGCCTGCCAAAAAAGCGAGTTATTCAAAATCTAGCAACCATGTCACCTTTTTTAACAATATATCCATAAATAACTAAAATAAATTTTCACTTCAAACTCACCAGAATTACTTAATAACATTAATGTCTTATGAAATACGGCAGATTTGAGCTCAGAAATTATTTAATGTATATGTAATATTATTAATGATTTATTTTACTTTTTAGAGCATTTTTATGATGTCATATACTACTAAACATATCTTTATTACAGATTTTTTAATTATTTTAAGTTTTCGTGTTTTATTCTTTTCTTAAAATTTAATTATTTTGAGTGAATCTTATTTTTAATATCGGTACATTATGCTTTTTGCTAAAAATCTGAATTTTATGAAATATAATTATTAAACAGTTCAATGTATTTGGGTACTATTCTGAATGAAATGTGTGATGTATTCAGCTAAAAAGCAAATAGGTATATTTCATTCAAGTTTATATTATTGAATATTTTTTATTAAAGTGTTCGTAATGAAATTGGAAAAGTTCTTAAATAGCAGGTGTTTACGATCATATAAAAAAGAATCGTTAGACACGCATCTTGACGTTCTTGCAATATCCTAAATATCACTAGGAATACTTCTAATAATAAGTTTAAAATATACTTTCATTCAAAAAATAATTCATTAATCATTTAATATCTCATTAGAATAATAGAATCAATCAAATTAAAATTATGGAGAATTAGAATAATAGAAAATAATTAATTATTTAATATTGATATTTTTGTCATACGATTGCCAACTGGCAGCATTTCTCAGGATTGTTCATATCCTTCTTACAAAAGTAGCGTAATAATACCTTCGGATAGCACGTGACAAAGGCGGAGCCTTGTGCCAACTCCGAGTGAATGAACAATCGGCGATCGAAATGAGCTATAAGTGGCGTAAAGCAGAACTCTCTACCTATGGCAGCACTTCGCATGTTTTCACCATTAGCGTGGTTATTATTGTGATTTCTTGATTAAATGTGAGCTTTATTTTACCATTCATAACACTTTTTTGTAATTTATAAATTCTTACAGATCGCGTATCTAAAACAAATTTAAGAAAATAAATATCACACCATAAATAAAGTGTAAGTTTCGCCATGTTTTGAGTGTTATACCTTATTTGGCTATATTTGTGTAAAATAGCCCCATTTGTTATTATTTGGGTAGAATTATAGCAAGCCTGCGGAATCATTCAAATTCATTTGTTGTTTTGTTGAATAAATTGAAAAAAAATTGTATTGGAAACACTACAAGTGTAATTAAATTAGATGTCACGTTTTTTTCAAGCTCAGGCGTAAAAATCAGTCAGAAATAGTAACCCGGAAGTCTTGCAGTAAATTTCACGACCCTCAGCGCCATCTGCGCTTAGCTTTACAGGGTCAACCATCTATAGTTGCTCAGGATCCGAAAGTCTATGTTGGGTTTCAATAACTGTTTACTTATATATTATTTTTACTATTAGTATTTTTACTTTTAGTGTTTTTACTATTAGTATTAATTTTTATAAGTAACCAATTGTAGCTAAGCTGTGAACCTATAAAAAGAAATGCTTTTTTTAGCTGTTACAATATTAGCAAACTATAACAATAAGATTATAAATAAAACCAGGAAACTTCATACACCAATCCTCATAATTGCTTTTCATTCATCATTTTTTTTTTTTTTAATTTCTCAACGTCAATATTTTTCACAGCGCATATTTTTCAAAGTAAGCAACTATTGTAGTTTTATATAAGAACATTTTGTTAATATGTTGTTAACTGTAAAGAAATAATCCTAAATTTGAAAAATAATTATCTGAACTTAAAAAAATAATTTAACATAAGGAAAACAAATTTCATTTTATTTTATGACCGCCGTTGAACAAGCTACCCAATTTTTGGGTTTACGACGATTAATGTTCAAAGCTGTAGCCTTGTAATTTTGAACCCAATCCAGAAGACAGGGGAACTCCTGATCATGTATTAGAAGATATTTGCCTTCGTGAAAGACCTTTTGATGAAACTGACCCGCATTTGTGCTACATGGAGAGGAAAACCTCCCACAGTTAGCCTGACGGCAAGGGAGCTTTAACCCATGATCCGTTTGCCACTGAGGATTTTTAGCCTCAGCACTGTAGTAGGTGCAAGTCGGAAGCGAAATTCGTATCTACAAGCCATTGCTGGGATTCGAACCCGGTTCTCCTCATTGAAGGCGAACTCTCTAACCCCTGAGCCATCACGGCTCAGACAGAAGCATAAAAGAAAAAGTTCCGCGAGAGTTGTATGTTCAAACTCGACATTTTCCGCCAATGAGTATTGCGAGATTTACGGTGAATGTGGACGTCAGGCACAGAGACTATATTGTGAACGTTTATCTGGGCTGCCCCATCCTTCACGCCAGGTCATCGTAAAGGCATTGCGACCAAGAACAGCGATTAGTCAGAGCAGTACAAGAAAGATCATTGAACACCTTTTATAAAGCCTAACGTGTACTTTCTTAAACGACACCTGCTCAGGCACTAAGGACTCAGAAACGTTACGACTGGCTCAACTTCATCATGAAAACGTTTTTAGAGCCAAAGTATTTGCCGAAATCATATACCATATCCGTGGTGCTATCGAAGTTCGACATCATATGTATACTAATTGGTCTGGTGCCCGATATTCTGATGAATATCCTATTTTCTAGAGGATTTGCAGTTGAGTGAATGTTTGTTTCCCCCTCTGTAGAGTATCCATTCCAGCAACAAATTCCTCCACCTATTGAACTCTTCTTATTCTATGTTAATACATCAGTCAGCGAGTGTATGCAACCAGGAACCGTTTTACGGATGCTTGTCACAAGTCCATATGTGACACCATTTGTAGATCATAAATGAAAATAAGCCTCATTTCCGCAGTTTTGTTCAACTTGAACAAACAATTGTACGTATTGAACTTTCGATTTGTGTCAATTTTTTGCACAAGTTTTTTTTTTTTTTTTTGTAATAAATTAATGATTCTGAACAACTGATGCTTCTGGCGTATCTTGTAACGAAGAACGCTAACTCCTGATGTTTACGCTAGGCAGCGCTATAGGAAGTCAATGACAACTTTACTATACCTAGCCCTCACTTTTATGACTATAGCTCTTGTCGTTCAGAAGTTATTCGGGTGACAACGGACTTTACAGCAGACGCACTGTATAAAGATATCTTAGACAAACATGCCAGAATTATTAAAAGTTATCCATTTTTAAGGGTCACTTTTTTAAAGAAAAATTTTAATTACTTTATCTTTCTTTTCCTTAGAAATGAAAAATATCTTATGCAAGAAACTTTGTTCTACCTATCTATCTTAAATCGGTTTTTAAATAGAATTTCATCCATGTATTATCCAAGTAATTTCATCGTTAAAAATTTACAATTTATTTTGAAATTTTTATTAGTATCCTTGGATACATTTCAATGACTAGCTAAGCTAGGCCACAAGAATATTTATTTCAATGAAATAAAATGCATCAAAATGTAGTAAAATTTATTGAGTTTTTTTTTTCTAAATACAAGAGAAGAATAAAGTGCATTAGGTGCATAAAATATTTTAAATGTTTCAGATGAGTCGTTCTTCGAATGGTACAGTCTATCTAAAGAACACTCAGATGTCAGCAGAAGGAAACTACAGGTGTGAAGTTTCAGCAGATGCACCGTCCTTTCAATCTATATCACTCGAAAATTTCATGAAAGTACAAGGTAATTTCCTTTTTCATTCGTTATGCTTTTTTACCTTGCTAAATGAATGGTTGACCGAGTAAAGCTAATGGTGATAGGGGTTAAGACTTCCAAGACTTCCGGGTCACTGCTTCCGACTGATTCTTACGCCGAACTAGGAAAAATTGACCATCCAATATAATTATACTTGTAGTGCTTTCAATATAACGCGTTCTTTCCATTTAACTTTTAACGAAACAAACGACAAATGAATTCGGAAGACTTTGCAAACTTGCTACCCGAAAAATGACAAACGGTGCTATTTTATACAAATATAGCCAAATAAGGGATAACACTCAAAACATGGCTAACCTAACACTTTATTTATGGTGTGATACTAATTTTGTTAAATTTGTTTCAGGCTCAAGACCTGTTAGAATTCATAAATTACAGAAAACTTTTATGAATGGTAAAATTACGCGTAAATTTAAACACAAATCACAATAATAAAACTTCCTAGAATATTAGGTCCGTTCACGCATCGCCTCGTAAGCATAACATAAGTGGAGGGATACACCGGAAGTTTTCTAATTTTTTTACGAAATCTTGTTATTATTTACATTCAGTTAACCATCCTAATATAGTGCGGCTTTGAGAAAAAATCCTCCAAACTAAATGTCTGGGGCTGTCTGCTACTATAGTAACAAGCGAGAGCACATTTCTAATGGGCGTGAAATGTAGGAAAGAAGGTGTCGATTAATTTATTCACGACGACCTATGCTGAGATTAAGACAAAACTATTCACTCCACACCCCTATTCGAATTGCCCTTTCCTCGTAACCATAGTACCCGCCACGACGCGAGACGTTTGTCTGGAGGAGTTCTCCTGAAAGCCGCACTATAGAACCCATTTGCCAACGTTTTTGGTATTGTTTTTTTGAATCCTAAGAACTACTTCCCATAACTTTTTTTTTCTAATTTTAAAATTTTAGATCAATGATTATACCAGGACCTTCTGTAAAGAATTTGTTTCATACTTTGCCTAAATAGCATCCGGCATTATATATAATGCCTAGGCAAAGTATGTAATACTTCTCATATTTCATACTTTGCCGGTAACATATATATAAAATGCTTATCATCTTTTGATGTTAATGATCATTCAATAAGGCAGCTACACCTTCAATCTAATTACACTTATGTTTTGAAATGAACTTCACTGCAAAAGAAATATTGAAGGTTACAAAAATTTTTGTATACTCTCAAACCATGCTGGATTTTTCATTTCAGATTTTGCCACTCAAACAAATCTGCTAATAATTCAGAACCCTTTTATTAATCTAAAAAAAGGAGCCAATGTTTGATTAAAATGTCAAATGTAGATTCAGTAAAAATAAAATATAAATATAGTAATTAATTTCTTTTTTAAGTATATTTGTCAAGTTTAACTCTAAAAATTTTTTGCTTAGTATAATCAATACAATTTATAAAATCAAATGTTCTCAGAACGAACGTGATTTTAATGGACTTGTAGGCACTACTCTAACAAAAAATTTTTTCAAGACTGGGAAATATAAGAGGGATAAAATGAATGCTTTCATCTCTTTACGGCAAAAAAATCTATCTCTTTGCTTTTTGAAACATTAGTATATTATAATTCTAATTTATACGTACAAATTAAATGTATATATATTCAGATATAATGAGTAAATAAAGAATAAAATGCTAAAAGAAACATTTAGCCTCAGGAAAATTATCAACCTCGGTTTTTTTTTATCTTCTTATTGTCCTGAAGGATCTTATTAAAGAACTCTTCCATTCCATTTCCAACAAAATGCTTCATATTTCTGACTTTCACTTAGAATCTGATTCATTTTCTTTCGCTTCATAATCAGTAGTGTGTGTGGGGGGAGACGTCATTGTGATAAAGAACCGGAAGAAGAGGTAGGGAGGAGGGGTGGAAAGAATATCTAATTAAATCATACGTTCGACAGAACGATAAATTGCTGATCTTTTCACCAAAATTCCATTCATTTATTGGAGCGGAAATTTCATGAAAGAATTAGAAAGTAGGTAAAAAAAAGTGAGAAAGTTTAAAAGAACAGAAATACCTTTCTTAACGGGAGAAAATGTGATCATTTTCTAGCATTCTTTTTTTAGAGAATGAAAAAGAGGGTGAAAAAATAAAGAATCGATTAACACTAAGACTCATTTTATATGCAGCGACCATCTTTAACATAAGTAAATAAGAACTAACAAAATTAGAATTGTTCTTAAGGTTTCTCACCCTGCTCGTTGCCATCAGCCACGACAATTATTTCTCAATCATTTTATTTTTTGTCTGAGACAGTTCTTAATAAATTTAAAAAATGAAAATAATAAGTAATCAATTGAAAGAATGATTTTTTTTTTAAATTTTTTTTTAATATATATCCGTCGTTGAGCAGCCGACCCAATTTTGGGTTTACGACTACTAATGTTCAACTCCGTAGCCTAGTAATTTTGAAACCAATCCAGAAGACGAGGAAACTCCTGGATCAGTACCCCCAGAGGTATGATTTGTTATGGGAACATAAAGGACTTTGTGACTCGATAGATTTAGTGTGCATCACTACACGGACAGTCTTCGGCCAGCGGACATGGGTCCAGTGCCCTACGAACCAGGCTCTCCCGGCCTTCTGAAAGAATGATTGAATGAATGATCCTGAATGGTGTTATTCTATTATAGAGAATTCCATGGCTGATGTAAACAAGAAAAAAACTCTTGTTTTACTCATTCATGCCTGGTGAGTCTTGAGAATGAGAACCTATTTTTGAACGCTCGGAACAAGTTAACATCTTCATACTTTCCTACTTTCATATTTTCTGAAGCAATTGAAATTTACATATTATCAAGTGTAACCTTATCTTAACTAATATGTTTTTTCTCTCTCTTTTCTTTTCTTTTCAGACAGACCTCCAGTAGTCGAGAACTTTGCTCAACGGTTAAATTTTCCTAAAAGGACAATGGGTTCGCTACTGTTTATTGTCACTTTCCTGTGCCCTTAAAAGGCTTATCATGTGGTCGAATAAAACCTTTTGTGCCTCATGATGACGTAGAATATCTTCCTTTAAACAACAAGAAAATGACTCATGTCTGCATTGCTCCGCTTTCATCAAGTTCGTCGAATTGATGCTCAACTTCACGAGTCGAAAATCAGCAAAGAAAATTTGGCAGATGAAGGCAGGAAAAGAAAGATGTTTTTTCCCAAACGATAATAAAAAAAACACAAGGTCATCGTTTCATTTTAATGTAATACTATTTTTTTTATTTAGTTTTTGTTACGGAAGGTAATACTTTTTTCTAAGTGACAAAGAACTCCACGATTGATAAACTGATTCAGCGCTTTAAATGTAAACATTTTTATGAGTTCGTTAGTCGAATTTTCTACTGTTCTCGCTAGCATGACTAAGGCATCATATTTGGAAAATAAAGTGCGTGTTTTTTTCACGACTTTAAAAAAAATTATTAGAGCAACCACATTTACTAATACCATAACTAAATGAACTGAAATGATCCTCGAGAAAGAATATTTCGCTTAAAGAACTCAAATGCATAAAATTACAATTTCAAAAATCATTTTCTTGTATCGTCTGCTGCGTGATATAAATCAAAATAATTTTAATAACTAAATTCGAAGCTCAAAACTTAATGAGAGTTTTCAAATACGATTTGCTTTCTAACTGGAGTAAATTTAACTAAATGAACTGAAAGAAGCCTCAAGAAGGAAAATTTCGCTTTAATTACTACATTTTATATAAAATGCTTATTCAACTGTAATTATTATAGTGTTACCTTAATCTATGGCCTATTTCTTGTGCCATAACATCGAATATTTAAAAAAAAATTGTTTGTATTCTTTTGTGATCATTACTAACATGGATACAAAATCGTGGAAAATGTATAAAAGTTAGATGCAAATTATAGAATATGTAAATAAGAGTGCCAATAAAGAATTTAAATCGCCTCTTTGTGTTTATGTGTAATGACTTTTTTTTTAGTTTGGAGCCCAACCCTTATCTAACTTTGTTAGAGAGTTACGCCAATAATTTATAAAATTGTCCAAAATTTTAGGGTTGCTAAAGATAATGGATTGGGTTTCGTCACCAAGCCTATTTAATTAACGAGCTAGTAGAATGGTTTTACGAAACTCTGTAGCCAAATACAATAAAATAACAACAGTTTAAGTGCCTTACACTTGAAGCATAATGATGATTTTAAACTATACATATCATCTTGCTGTGAAGAATTATCTGGGCTTTAGAACGGACAAATATTGGCAATTTTTAAAAAAATAATTTTTTTTTTTTAAAAAATGGCCAATTTAGCGACATTTTCCACATAGATTAAAATTATCAAAATTACTGCTTTATTCTCAGTTTTTACAAATTTTTATGAGCCCAGATAATGCAACATTAGAGTAAGTTTTAAAATATTAAAAAATTAGACCACAAACGCTTTTCGTTTCCGCAAAATTGTGGCTTTTCTTCACATTGACATTTTGCGCCATTTTTCAGAATAACCACAGATATAGCTTTATGTAGGCTAAACTTATCTTAACAGTCATGAGTAACTATTGCAAACTCACAGCGGTTATGAAAATTACATAGTATTTGTAAAGAAGTATAATTTCACGTGACGACGAAACATTCGAAAAACAACCCTAAATTTCAGTGTCCTATTGGTCGAAAATGACGTCACTACAAGTCTGCCACTTGTGTGCTTTGCGGTGCCCTGATAAATCCCCTAAGCCCTGATAAGCGTGTAGAAAACACTTTTCAAAAAGTCGCGCGATTTATCGAAATTTTAGAGTTATTCGTTAATATCATTGAACTGGTTGATAAACTAGAAAACGCTGATAGCGCAGTAGATCTAATTAAAATTCTTTTCTCAAAATCAGTCCCCTCCAATAATAATAAATGAACAACTCCTTTTTCAGTAAATTTAAAAACCTTCTTGTTGTATCATGGAATGCCAATGGCCTTCGTGGTAAAATTAATGAACTTAGACATTTTATCATTCAATACTCCCCTGATATATTACTAATCCAGGAAACAGAACATGTCACTGCTCACTTTTTTAAAATACGTAATTATCTAATTTATCACACCAAGTCACATCGATGGCATACGTAAGCCTGTGGTGGAACAGCCATCATCATCAAGAGAAATATTAATCATAAACTACTTGATTACCTTAACTTCAATTACATTGACGCAACGACCCTTGAGTTATTTTTTCTCCCCGTCCCAATCTGTCGTCATTTCTAGTGTCTATGTTCCCCCTAACACCCCGGCCGCCTTTATCAGCGACCTCAAAAATCTGATTTCCTACGGTTTGATTATCTTCTTGGCTGGTGACTTTAACGCTAAATACAGCACATGGAACCACTATGATAGCCTGGGCACTTCTCCATTCAATTCATCAACTTAGCTAAATTAAATGTACACTACCCCACCAATAACAGGATCTCGAACTTATCAGCTAATGATATCAACTTCGCCCTTTCTATAAATCTAAATTACCTTATCAATACTAGTACCTTAAATGAACTCTGTTCTGATCATTTACCTGTTGAGTTTAGCATCAATATTAATGTCCCCAATAATCTTAATAATAAAATAAATAAAATCAACTGGAATAAATTTAATTGCATTTTAGTTAATCCCCCCCCCCAGTTTGCTCCCCAGTCGACACCCCAACTCAATTCGATCAATTAGTTGACAGCTTCACTAATTCTATTAACAAGGCTAAAGAGGAAGCTTCCCTTTTTGTGGAGGCAAGCAATTACTGCAATGCACCCCCTCATATCAGACATCTTATTAGAGATAGAAATAACGTCAGGAGGTTGTGGCAACAATCCCGTGATCCAAATGATGAAGCTCGATTGAATCAGTTCAATGCTAAAATTAGGAGAGATTTTCGAGCACACAAGCAATCCTCCTACACCAAGTATATCAAAGACCTATCTGTCCAAGATATCTCAATTTGGAAAGCGGTCAATAAGTTTAAGGCTAAATCTTCATGCATCCCACCCCTCAAACGTAATAATTCTGTCATATTCGATGACAATATGAAAGCCAACATCATTGCAGTCTTTAATTTCTGTTTACCAACGACCTTCGCCGAAAATGATAGTACTAACCTAGGGGTTAGAGGTGGTATTAATAAATTTCTTTCTTGCAGCTCTGACCCTGACATCCACAACCCGGTTCCTCTTAGTGATGTAATTAACTCCATTAAGAAACTTAAGAACAATAAGCGACGCGGTAAAGATAACATTAATAATAGACTTATCAAAGCACTCCCCCTTAACTACATTCCCTATTTAACATGCATTATTGACTCAGCGCTACGCTTATCATACTTCCCCACTGATTGGAAGATAGCAGTCATTAAACCTATCCTAAAGCCAAGAAAAGACCCAACAAAACCAGACAGCTATCAACCAATTAGTTTACTCTCCTCTCTGAGCAAAATTAATGAGGACATCGTCTAGTGCAGAATGAGAGACTTCTGCGATGATAACCACATTATTATCGATGAGCAATTTGGCTTTCGCCTTAAACATTCCACGCAACACCAACTCATCAGGCTCATTGAACACATACACGAAGGATGGCTTCACAACAAACACACAGGTGCCGTTTTTCTCGATTTGGTTAAGGCTTTCGACAAGGCATGGATCGATGCACTTGTCTGTAAATTAATTAAATAATACAATTTCCCTAGACCACTTATTCTAATTATACGATCCTACCTAACACACAGAAAGTTCATGGTCAACTGTAACACCTTTTTCTCCACCTTAAGACCCATTAATAGCGGTGTTCCCCAAGAGAGCAAACTAGGACTCCTCCTATTTTTAATTTTATTAATAATATCCTTAGAGATCCTGGTATTCTGAGTACATTGTGGGTTGACGATACAGCCATTGCCACACAAAGCAAGTATAGCAGCGATATCAACAGGAATATCATTTATCATCTCCTCACCATCTTAACAANTTTTAGTTTGGAGCCCAACCCTTATCTAACTTTGTTAGAGAGTTACGCCAATAATTTATAAAATTGTCCAAAATTTTAGGGTTGCTAAAGATAATGGATTGGGTTTCGTCACCAAGCCTATTTAATTAACGAGCTAGTAGAATGGTTTTACGAAACTCTGTAGCCAAATACAATAAAATAACAACAGTTTAAGTGCCTTACACTTGAAGCATAATGATGATTTTAAACTATATATATCATCTTGCTGTGAAGAATTATCTGGGCTTTAGAACGGACAAATATTGGCAATTTTTAAAAAAATAATTTATTTTTTTTGAAAAATGGCCAATTTGGCGACATTTTCTACATAGATAAAAATTATCAAAATTACTGCTTTATTCTCAGTTTTTGCAAATTTTTATGAGCCAATTTAATGCAATATATAGTAAGTTTTAAAATATTAAAAAATTAGACCACAAACGCTTTTCGTTTCGAATTGTGGCTTTTCTCCACATTGACATTTTGCACCATTTTTCAGAATAAGCACAGATATCGCTAGCTTTATATAGTCTAAACTTGTCTTAACAGTCATGAGTAACTATTGCAAACTCACAACAGTTATGATGTTGTTGTTATTGTTCATTTACGTCGCACTAGAGTTGCACAATGGGCTATTGGCGACGGTCTGGGAAACATCCTTGAGGATGATCCGAAGACATGCCATCACAATTTTGATCCTCTACGGAGGGAGTGGCACTCCGCTTCGGTAGTCCGACGACCTGCACGCGAAGTCGAGCACTTTACGGTAGAACAGTTTAACGAGGACCAATACCGCACACCCTTGGTCCCTACGCAAGTTGATCCAAATGGTCACCCACCCGCACACTAACCGCAGCCAGTGATGCTTGACTTCGGTGATCTGCTGGGAACCGTGTCTTAACGATCAGTCCACTGCGGGACCACAGCAGTTATGAGAATAACATAGTATTTGTAAAGAAGTATAATTTCACATGGCGACGAAACATTCGAAAAACAACCCTAAATTTCAGTGGTCCTATTGATCGAAAAGGACATCACTACAAGTCTGCCACTTGTGTGCTTTGCGGTGGTAAGCACACAGTCAGTTGTAGAAAATGAACTAAAGCCCCTAAACGCCGATAAACGTGTAAAAAACACTTTTCATAAAGTTGCTCGATTTATCGAAATTTTAGAAAATAAATTCGGTAATATCATTGAACTGGTTGATAAACTAGAAAACGCTGATAGCACAGTAGATCTAATCAAAATTCTTTTCTCAAAATCAGTCCCCTCTAATGTGTAATAAGTGAACAACTCCTTTTTCAGTAAATTTAAAAATCTTCTTGTTGTATCATGGAATGCCAATGGCCTCCGGGATAAAATTAATGAACTTAAACATTTTATCAACCAATACCCCCTTGATATATTGCTAATCCAGGAAACCCAACTTGTCACTGCTCACTCTTTTAAAATACCTAATTATCTAATTTATCACACCAAGTCACATCGATGGCATGCACAAGCCTGTGGTGGAACTGCCATCATCATCGAAAGTAATATTAATCATAAACTACTTGATTACCTTAACTTCAATTATATTGAAGAAACGACCCTTCAGTTCTTTTTTTTTCCCCAATTCCAATCTATTGTCATTTCTAGTGTCTATGTTCCCCCTGCCTTTATCAGCGACCTCGAAAATCTAATTTCCTACGGTTTGATTATCTTCTTGGATGGTGACTTTAACGCTAAACACAGCAGATGGAACAACTATGATAGCAACCGCTTGGGCACCTCTCCATTCATTTTCATCAGCTTAGTTAAATAAAATGTACTCTGCCCCCCCCCCACCAATATCAGGATCTCGAACTTATCAGCTCATACTATCAACTTCGCCCTTTCTAGAAATCTAAATTACCTTATCAATACTAGTACCTTAAATGAACTCTGTTCTGATCATTTGCCTGTTAAGTTTAACATCAATATTAACAATACAAACGAAAGCCTGAGTCAAATATGCTGTGCCAAATCGTGGAACCATGTTATTTAGCATAATAGTTGTGATTTTGCTCACATTACATTTTAGCCAACCGTTTCTGTTTCGCCAACTTTACTGAGTTCTATTAGTTAACACCCCAACCCAATTAGATCCATTAATTGACAGCTTCACTAATTCTATTAACAAGGCTAAAGAGGAGGTTTCCTTTTTTGTGGAGGCAAGCAATTACTGCAATGCACCCCCTCATATCAGACATCTTATTAGAGATAGAAACAACATCAGGAGGTTGTGGCAACAGTCTCGTGACCCAAATTATAAAGCTCGAATGAATCAGATCAATGCTAAAATTAGGAGAGGTTTTCGAGCACACAAGGAATCCTCCTACACCAAGTATATCAAAGGCCTATCTGTCCAAGATAACTCAATTTGGAAAACGGTCAATAAGTTTAAGTCTAAATCTTCATGCATCCCACCCCTCAAACGTAATAATTCTGCCCTATTCGATGACAATATGAAAGTTAACATCATTGCTGACGTCTTTAATTGCAGTTTACCAACGACCTTGCCAGAAATGATACTACTAACCTAGATGTCAGAGGTGGTATTAATTTTCGTTCTTGCAGCTCTGACCCTGACATCCACAACCCGGTACCTTAGTGATGTAATTAACTCCATTAAGAAACTTAAGAATAAGCGACCCGGTAAAGATAACATTAATAATAGACTTATCAAAGCACTCCCCCCTTAACTACATTCTCTATTTAACATGCATTATTGACTCAGCGCTACGCTTATCATACTTCCCCTCTGATTGGAAGATAGCAGTCATTAAACCTATCCTAAAGCCAGGAAAAGACCTAACAAAACCAGACAGCTATCGACCAATCAGTTTACTCTCCTCACTGAGCAAAATTACTGAAGACATTATCTTGTGCGGAATGAGAGACTTCTGCGATGATAACCACATTATTATCGATGAGCAATTTGGTTTTCACCCTAAACATTCCACACAACACCAACTCACCAGGCTCATTGAATACAGACACGAAGGATGGCTTCACAACATACACACAGGTGCCGTTTTTCTCGATTTGGTTAAGGCTTTCGACAAGGCATGGATCGATGCACTTGTCTATAAATTAATAAAATACAATTTCCCTAGACCACTTATTCTAATTATACGATCCTACCTAACACACAGAAAGTTCATGGTCAACTGCAACACCTTTTTCCCCACCTTAAGACCCATTAATAGCGGTGTTCCTCAGGAGAGCAAACTAGAACCCCTCCTATTTTTAATCTTTATTAATGAAATCCCTTGAGATCCTGGTATTCTGACTGCACTGTACCCTGACGATACAGACATTGCCACACAAAGCAAGTATATCAGCGATATCAACAGGAATATCATTTATCATCTACTCACCATCATTGACTACATCCAAGATTGGAAACTCGATATCAGCAAAACTCAGTCGGGGCTATTTACCAGAAAAAGGAGCTTACAAGAAGGATGTTATCATTGATAACAACTTTTCTTTCAAATGGGAAACGAAGGCCACGTACTTAGGTGTCATTATGGATAAAACCCCGACATTAAAATATCATTTTAAAAACATTAAAAATAAATTCATAGAAGCAAAATGTGCACTTTATCCTATTCTAAAAAGGAACTCCCCCCTCAGCACTAATAAAAGGATTGTAATTTTTAAAATGCTTCTCACCCCCCCTATTAACATATTCAGCACCCGCCGCAATATCACAAACTCACCCTGGTATTTCAAGAACTAAAATATCCGTAATGACACCTGTCCGTCTAGCCTTCTTGACTTATACAAAAATAGATCTCTTAAGTATTTCCTTAAGAGCACTGGACACTCCAACCCCCTTATATGGTCTTCCTCTAACTACGACCCAGATGAACCTAATTCCAGGAGACGGCCTAAGGTCATTCTTCATTACTGTAAAAATCTTCAAGACATCGTTTGAGTCGTATTGCTGATTTCTCTTTCCCCCTGACTGGTTCCTCATCTCCTCTATCATCATTTCATCATTACCCTGTCCCACATGCTTGGGTTGGCCCCATTCCCCATCCGTCACGGAATTACTGCTATTCATTCTGAATCAATTTACTAATACAACTACTAACAATGCTAATCACTTTGTTAATAATTATAATTAAAAAATAAATAATAATTAAGAAATAATATAAAATGAAATATTTTTTTGACTAATGACTTCGTTTGTTTGTTTATGTAATTACCTGTCTGTGTTATCCCTCTTTTGTACTGTCTTTTCTATCTTCTATTTCCACAACTAATGGTTTAGAAGCAAAATCTTAAATGAGATTAACCTTAGCCCTCCTCATTTTCAAATACCACCACGCCACAGATTTGCCGCAGATTTGTTGGGTTAGCTTAATAGAGTACCGGCTGCTGAGGTAGTTCCTTTTATAAACATGGGAATAGTTGGGTGACGGAGGGCGGTAGTAGCCCAGTGATTAGAAAACTGGATTTCGGTCCGGAGGAACCGGCTTTCGATAATCGACGCTACTCAAATCCACCGAGTATATGAGTTGTTGTTGTTGTTCATTTACGTCGTACTAGAGCTGCACAATGGGCTATTGGCGACGGTCTGGGAAACATCCCTGAGGATGATCCGAAGACATGCCATCACAATTCTGATCCTCTGCTGAGGGGATGGCGCCCCCTCTTTGGTAGCCCGACGACCTGCACGCGAAGTCGAGCACTTTACGGAAACACAGTTTAACGAGCACACAGCAATACAGCACACCCTCGGTCCCTACGCAGACTGATCCAAGTGGTCACCCACCCGCACACTGACCGCAGTCAGTGATGCTTGACTTCAGTGATCTGATGGAAACCGTGTCTTAACGATCAGTCCACTGCGGGACCCGAGTATATGAGATATACACGTTTGCAAAATATGTGGAATCATAAGTTCTGTGGTCGATCACTGAACAGTACCATGAGTGCAGGGATTTGGAGAAAACTTCCCTCCCCTTCAGATTTATGTTTAAATTGTGGAAGGAAGTTGGCTTACAAAAGAAATCCCCTCTGTTCAAGATCAAAATTGTGATGGCATGTCTTCGGATCATCCTCATGAATGTTTCCCAGACCGTCGCCAATTGCCTATTGTGCAGCTCTGGTGCGACATAAATAAAATACCTACCTGCATCCTAAAATCGGAAGAAATATTAAAAACTTCCGATGAATGGATAGTTGACTGAATGTAAGCAATAAAAAGCTTCTTAAAGCAGGAAGAAATTTATAAAACTTCCGGTGTATCCCTCCGCTAATGTTACGCTTACGAGGCGATGTGTGGACAGGTTTAATTATCTAGGAAGTCTTATTAATGAGGTTTAAAATTACGTGTAATATTACCATTCATAGGAGTTTATTGTAATACATAAATTTTAACTAATTTTGAGCATAAAAAGATTTTAAGAAAAATTATTATCCCAACATAAATAACGTTTAAAGTTTGCCATGTTTTGATTGTTATCCATCATTTAGCTATATTTTTATAAAATATCGCCATTAATTATTTTTTGGGTTGCTTCTTGCAGAGCATAGCATACTTGCGGAGTTTTCCAAATTCTTATTTTGTTTGTTTCATTGACATTTTAAATTTAGAAAAAGCGTGATACTGTGAACACTACAAATGAAATAATATTTGATGGCACCCTTTTTCAAGTTTAGGCGTAAAAATCAATCGAAAGTGGTAACCGTGAAAGTCTTATGACAAATTTTAACTCTTAGCACCATCTGTTCTTAGCTTCACACGGTCAACCATCCATTCTTCCGCTTGTGTTAAGTTTACGAGGTGATGTATGAACAGGTAGGTAGGTTCTTTACTTACGTCACACTAGAGCTGCACAATGGACTATTGGCGACGGTCTGGAAAACATCCCTCAGGATGATCCGAAGACATGCCATCGCAATTCTGATCCTCTGCAGAGGGGGTGGCTCCCCTGCTTTGTTAGCCCGATGACCTGCTTGCGATGTCAAGCACTTTACGGTAGAACAGTTCAACGAAGACCGATACCGTGTACCCTCGGTCCATACGCAGACTGATCAAAGAGGTCACAAATCAGCTTATTGACCGCAGCCAGTGATGCTTGACTTCGGTGCTCTACTGAGAACCGTGTCCTAATGATCAGTGAACTGTGGGATCAAGCTTGATAGTGTAAGAAAGTTCTATTAGTGTGATTTATGTTTAAATTCTCTCGTAATTTCGCCATTCATAGTAGTTTTCTGCAATTCATTAATTGTAAAAGCTGGTGAGCTTTAAATAAATTTAGGAAAACTGTCGCAACATAAATAAAGCGGATGATTTGCCATGTTTTTGGTGTTATCTTTTATTTGGCTATATTTTAATGTAAAATATCGCCCTTTGATATTTTCTGATTCCGGTTAAAGAAAAATTTCAGTTCCATATAGTTGTCCAACTTAAAAGATTTTAATCTATATGAAAATCAAGAGAGAATCTAAGGTACTTTCTTCCTCTATGACTCTCCACACTCTAATGGGGAAAGTATGCAAAGTGTTGCCATAGGTAGAGACTTCTGTTCAACGCCACCTGCAAATCGGAAATAGTAACCCGGAAGTTTTAGACGAATCGAAACCTTTTACCTTAGCGCCATCTCTGCTTTAGCTTTACTCGGTCACCATCCATTTAACGGCATCGATAACATGTCGATTTATTTTCTTTGTTTTGCATAAGAGGTATTGCACAGAGGTATTGCATAATAGTAGTGAAATTAAATTATTAATGTGTGATTAATTTAAACCTCTTAGTTACGTGCTTTAATTAACAAATTTCTCATTAAGGTTTGTTTGTTCCTATGTTAGTTGCTTTTGAAATCTCTAACATTTTCTATATTTTTGTTTGATGGTGTTTAATTTACTCATAATATATGTATGGGACTGAACAATCAAGTGGTTATTTAGATTTTATAATTCAACAAAAATTTTAAATAAATCTTTTAAATTGAAATTTCTATAATTTAATGAAATAAACACTAAAGCAGTATGTAAAGTAAATTAATATTGTTGCCTTTAATACAAACAGATGGATAAAAAATAAAAACATCTTTTTTTTATATTTTATAAAGAATACTCTTGCTTTTAAAAACTATTCGAATAATATGTTGAAAAAGTTAGCCATCAGGGAAACCTTGAGGACCTTAAGATATTGTATTTCATTTGTCATTTTTTATTGAAGTTTTCCTAAGAAATAACTTACAGTAACATTACAGTCAATCTATAAAATTTCACATGATAAGAGCTTTTATTTTCTATGTTATTGATCCAATAATTTTTTCAACAGAATGAATAGCACTATGTTTACTCCTGATTACAGTCACCTAACTGGATTGCTGCAGCAATTAAATGATGAGGAGTTGAAAGAACTTTTACAAAATGAGGGAAAGTTAAAAAATCTTGTGAATGACCTGAAACAGGTACATATTTTTATTTGCTAATTACTTAGGTGGATTTCAAATTAGAGGAATTTTTGATGTCTGACAAAAGGTTGTTTTTTTTAAACATAAATTTAATAGCCTGCTGGGTTATGTGTTTGTGATTTCCAAAAATGTCCTACGATTAAGAGTTATTATGTATAATAAACTAATTTATAAAATGTTTCATTTTCAATACATTTTTAACAGAGAAAGATTTCTGTTTCTAACTAGAAAGTGTTCTGTTTCATATTTTACAAATTTCCAAAATTATACCCAGCCCTGTGGCCGAATCGTGGCGACATTGTCGCAGAACATTACAGAGTTCTTGGAGAAAGATTTTTTAATTTGGAAAGCAAAGAAGTTAGTGCAGATTTTTTAGAGATTTTTTTTCCTGCAGAACTTCTTCCTCCTTTTCTCAAGAATTATATTTAAAAAATTTCTTTCTCGCATATCAGAGTTCACCTCCGATATGCGAGAAAGGATGTGCACGACCGTGATTATTTTTTTCTACTTTCTTTTGAGAATAAAAATATTCCGCAATGACTAGATCTAGCTAAAATTTCAGATTGATATTATAAAAAGTAATTTTCAAATAGCAAAAATTTAAAAAAGGTTAACTATGCAAATATTTTTTAGAACAGGAGAATATTGCCAATAATATTAGAATATATATTAGTAGTATATGGGGGGGGCTAGAGGACACTTTTGCCCTTTCCATATACTACTATTGATTTCCTATTTTTTATATTAAAAAAATTTAAAATAGACCTATATTTTACATNCAAAAAAGAAAGAAAAATCCTAAAATCTTATGAGGAGAAAAAAAATTTTTTAAAAAAATAGCGGGAAAATGTATTGAATTTCGTTCCGGTTTTTTGGTTTTCCGGTTTTCTGATTTCCGGATAACGGGTTCTGTACTGTATAATAAACAAATTTTATAAAATGTTTCATTTTCAATACATTTTTTACAGAGAACAATCCTAGAAAGTATTCTGTTTCATACTTTACAAATTTCCAAAATTTTACCTAACTTAAAACCCTTGTGGCAGAATCGTGGCATTATAGAGTTCTTGGCGAAAGATTTTTTTTATTTGGAAAGCAAAGAAGTTAGTGCAGATTTTTTTCAAAATATTGTTTCCCTACAGAACTTTTTCCTCCCTTTCTCAAGAATTATATTCAAAAAATGCCTTTCTCACATATCGAAGTTCACCTCCGATAAGCGAGAAAGGATATGAACAACCGTGATTATTTTTTCTACTTTCTTTTGAGAATATAAATATTCCGGAAAGACTAGCTTTAGCAAAAATTTATAAAAGGTTAACTGTACAAATATTTTTTAGAACAGGAGAATATCGCCAATAATATTAGAATATATATTCTTTTATAAAGGTTTAAAAATAAAATTCTTGCATTTATAATTAAAAAATTTATATACTGTTCTATTCTATATGTAAAGGCTTTTTTTGTACACAGAAAGCACTTCTGTTACTTAGGTATTAGTAGTACTAGAAAGAATTGTCGCAGAAAGCTCGGAAAAATTCTGCCACAGGGCTTGAAACACTTGCATAATTAAGAAAGTGCATTTTATAAATACAGAGAAAATTCTTTCAAATAACTTTTGGATTAATGGACAACTGTTAATTTATCCTAGTTTTAATGTATGACTTCTGTACCCTCTCCTTACACTTGCAGGGATCTGTCTAGACATTTTGTGAAAGGTTCTGTTTTTGTAAAATTGTGAAGAAATTACTTGTAATTTGTGAATATAAAATAAGTGTTAAGTCACATTCTTTCAAACAGGGTTCTGCTTTTGTGAATTTGCGCGAATAGGGTCCTGTTATTGCAAAAAACTTTTTCAAGGAGTTTTTAAATTGTAAATATATAAAAGATTATGCTCAACACTGTAAAATTATTATTGAAAAAAAGTTAAATTTTCAAAAATAATCAGCAATTGCTGCTTCTAAATTAGAGATGTAAGATACAAATATTTGGTATTTAGCCTCTACTGTTGAACGCAGATTATTCTTTTTGGACGAATAAAGGAAGAAGCGTCTGCTGAAGACAAAACTTAGTTCGTTTACATTAGTCTTTCTTTCCCCCCATTCCTGGGAAGGGTTTATTCGATTAACAAAACAATAATGAAGATAAACATATTTGTGAAGGGTCCGATTAAAAGATAAATTATTTTGTGAAGGGTCCGTTAACGAACCCAAATTTCTCCTAAACAGACCCTTGACTTGGTTGTTGATAATTGGCCTGTGGAACCACTGCTTATTTTTTTACGCTGGTCTAACTCTATATTGGATCAATGGCCAACTGTTAATTAGTTCTGGATTTATTATTGAATTATTTTTATAATTTGAATAAGTTTTCATTAGGGCTATCATTAAGTGTCAATTAGTGATTCTTGTGAAAATTAAGCAAAAATTAGACATTTTTTTTATTCTTGTGAAATTTTTATTGTGTCTAGGTACAGGACCTTGAAGCTGAAAAAGAAATGCTGCTTGCTAGTACTAAAAGTATTTCTGAGTACAATTTGTCCAGGAAACCTATTCTTGATCAGCATCGTCTGCAAGTTGTAGAAACACATGAAATTGCCCTGGATTTGAAAAATAGTTTCCTAGAAAAGAAAAAAAAGATAGGTATAAAATTCATTTTGTTGTCAAAATTAGGTATTTTCTACAGTATTAATGATTTTAACAAATTAAAGTTTGTGGATGTAATCTAAGCTCATGTCAGTGGTATTATTCTCGTGGTAAATATACTATGGTTATGTGATTTCTTTACACTTTTACCCTCTCCATTACCATAGTTTCACATAGTAACTAACTATATTCCAACTTCTAACTAAAATGTACCAGTAAAAATTGTACCTATTGCTTTTTACTGTCATGGGATAAAAAGTAAGATTTGCCAAAACCATAGTAAAAGAAAATGGAGAAATTGTGCAACCTTGAAACGCCTATTCCAATTTCAAAGAGTATTATGTGCAACTATATCTTCATTAAAATAATTTTCCTAGCAATTGAAAATGATAGAATCATTGCCTTAAAAAGTAAATACTAAAATGCACTAATTGAGTTTTCCATATTGTTTGAAATGTATCATGATATTTAAAAACCACAAGAAAATCAGTATCAATAATTGCCGAAAATGCAATAAAAACATATTGATTTTCGATACTGTCGGCGTAAATTAAGCACTCCAAAAAGTGATTAATAAATAGCATGATTCAATTTTGCGTGTAAATTTCTGGAGAAAAGAAAACTAAAATCTTTTACTTTTCGAAAGAAAAATCTTTCTGCAAGAACTCTGTAACATTCTGCGACTAAAGTCTCAAGAAACAATCTGTGTAAAATCTGACTGTATATTTTACTTTTTTTCTTATTTATTTCCTATCTTCTACTATGCATTCATTTTATTTTCAGAAAATTCTGAAAAAGCAGTATCAAAGGATACACTTTTAGCTTTGTTAGAAGCTGCAACTTCAGAAATAGATGAAGAGGCAGAGGTATGTAGCCAAATCTCTCACTTAGTTTCAAACTTAGATCCTTCTGAAATTTGCAATTGTTTCTTAGTGATAATTTTTTTAACCCTTTTTTTTATATGTTAGTCACAATTTTTTTCTCAATTCATATAGTCAGAGTTGCCACCCCACCGGGAAAATCTGAAAAATACAGGAAATTTTTACTAACTGGGAATTTGATTTTTTGTGGTCTTTTAAAAACTGGTGATCACTCAAAGCATGATCTATGGGATATATCAGGATGATATTTCAGCTACATTAAACCATTTCATTTACTGTGGCATTATTTAAGTATACTCGACTGATAATTTTTTATTACAAGTTTTTTCAGCAATTAAAACTAGTATAGTTACTCCAATATAACTCATTCAAGAGCGCAGTTATTGTTTCCTCTTAATATATGTGTGTAAGATGTACAGGAAAAACGCAGAGAATTTTTTTTTCTGGATTTGAGTGACAACCTGATTATTGATTTAATTAGGTTTCTTAAAAGAAACCAATAATCTCAAAAGGCATTTTCTTCTGTAATTATAACAGACAATTTTTTTTTTCCCTGTAAAAGCTGGGCCTGCTACAGAAGAAGAAAAAAATCGACATAGGGATGAAAAATATTTTCCTCTATGCCATTTTTTCCTTCATAATTTTTGTTTAAATAAAAATTTCCAGTTACAATTAAAAGTTTTCATTATCTGAAAATACAAAGTAATAAAGTAGTGTTGCTTTTTACTTTCAGATTACAGTTGCTCATTTTAACAATTATTGTTTTATTTTAAATTATCATTAAATTTGTGGGTCATGCAGTCATTTTTGATGGTACATGTAATTTTTATGCATTTTAAGCCTTAGTCATTTTGCAATGCTTATACAGTACAGAACCCGTTATCCGGAAATCAGAAAACCAAAAAACCGGAATGAAATTCGATAAATTTTATCGCCATTTTTAAAAAAAAAAAATTTGTTTTCCTCATAAGATTTTCCGATTTTTCTTTCTTTTTTTAAAGATATTTACCTTATCATCATTTTCGAAATAATCATTAGTGTATTACTTCATAGTTTTTNATATTTAAAAACCACAAGAAAATCAGTATCAATAATTGCCGAAAATGCAATAAAAACATATTGATTTTCGATACTGTCGGCGTAAATTAAGCACTCCAAAAAGTGATTAATAAATAGCATGATTCAATTTTGCGTGTAAATTTCTGGAGAAAAGAAAACTAAAATCTTTTACTTTTCGAAAGAAAAATCTTTCTGCAAGAACTCTGTAACATTCTGCGACTAAAGTCTCAAGAAACAATCTGTGTAAAATCTGACTGTATATTTTACTTTTTTTCTTATTTATTTCCTATCTTCTACTATGCATTCATTTTATTTTCAGAAAATTCTGAAAAAGCAGTATCAAAGGATACACTTTTAGCTTTGTTAGAAGCTGCAACTTCTGAAATAGATGAAGAGGCAGAGGTATGTAGTCAGATCTCTATATTTCAAACTTAGATCCTTCTGGAATTTGCTACTGTTTCTTAGTGATAATTTTTTAACCCTTTTTCTTCTTTCAAATACATGTTGGTCACAATTTATTTCTCGATTCATATAGTCAGGGTTGCCACCCCATAGGGAAAACCTGGAAAATACAGGGAATTTAAAAATCCCCAAAAATTTAGTTGTTTTTTACGAAGTGAGAATTTGATTTTTTTATTTTGGTCTTTTGAAAACTGGTGATCACTCAAAATATATATTGAAATAATATTTAATGCTATGGGATATTTAAGGATGATATTTCAGCTATATTAAACCATTTCATTTACTGTAGCATTACTTAAGTATGCTCAGCTCTTAATTTTTTACTCCAATATAGCTCATTCAAGAGCACAGTAATTATTTCCTTTTAATATATGTGATACATATAGGGAAAACACAGGGAATTTTTTTTTCTTTCTGGATTTGAGTAGCAACCTTGATTTTTGTTTTTATTTGGTTTCTTAAAAGAAACCAAATGAAACCAATAATCACAAAAGGCATTTTCTTCTGTAATTGTAACAGACAGTCTTTTTTTATTTCTTTGTAGAAGCTGTAGTGCTACTCTTCCATCACCGGCAGGAAAATTATTTTCATCAATGCCTTTTTTTCTTCATAATTTTTGTTGAAAATCAAAATTTCCAGTTCCAATTTAAAGTTTTCAAAATCTGAAAATACGAAGTAATAAAGTTTTATTACTTTTTACTTTCAGAATACAGTTGCTCCGTTTAAGAATTATTGTTTTATTTTAAATAATCATTAAATTTGTGTGTCATGCAGTCATTTTTGATGGTACATGTAATTTTGATACATTTCAAAATTTAGTCATTTTGCAATGCTTATATCTTATTTTTATTTTATTTAATTATGATTAATGATAAAACTTAATAATTCTTAAAAATTGCCAACATTTAGAAACCATCCACTCATTCAAACTTATCTCGGTCCCGCAATGGACTGATCGTTAAGACACGGTTCCCAGCAGATCACCGAAGTCAAGCATCACTGGCTGCGGTCAGCGTGCGGGTGGGTGACCACTTGGATCAGTCTGCGTAGGGACCGAGGGTGTGCGGTATTGGTCCTTGTTAAACTGTGCTACCGTAAAGTGCTCGACTTCGCGCGCAGGTCGTCGCGCTACCGAAGTTGGGGTGCCATCCCCTCCGCACAGGATCAAAATTGTAATAGCATGTCTTCGAATCATCTTCCGGGATGTTTCCCAGACCGTCGCCAATAGCCCATTGTGCAGCTCTAGTGCGATGTAAATTAACAACAACAAACTTATCTCGTTTCAGTGGTCTCATAAAAGGAAACTCAATATTTTTGTAGTTGATTTTTTTTTCTTAATATCTTTGATTGCTAATTGGAATCATTCTTTCTCTATTCTTACTCATTTCATTCATTACAAAATCGAAAGTACTTTTAATATTTGTTTATTTTAAGTAATGCTTCACTCCCTGTTTTTTTTTAATTTTCTTTTTTTCCCAATCATGATGTATTATGTTTTCTTATCATTTGCTTATTTTTGTATACATTTATTCTTTAGTTTCTAGATTATATACAGTTTAGTTTTAAAGTAATTTATTCTTGCATGAAAGTAACTATAATTATTAGTTATCTTTTAAACTTATTTTGATTTATTTTTATATGGAGAAATTTATTTCCGAAATCAAGAAAATTCATGTTTTGAGATTTCTTGCCGTATCCTTGAAATTGCACTATTTTTTATAAACTTGTTCGTATTATTATTATTATTTTTTGTCCTTTTATAAATGTTGTAGAGAATAAGGAAATATGCCGTACAAAATGAAACTTTCAAAGCTGCCCATTGTACTATTCTTTTTAGACATTTGTTTTCCCACCTTAAAAATAGACTGTATGTATTGCACTAAAAAATGTTCTGATTTTTATTTTAAATCACTAGAAAGCCTTCCAGAAACACAATTAAATGGTTGTGTAGCATTTGTACTACTTCATTGTTTAAGAAATATTAATGCATTTAAATATATTTCTTTACCCCTGCATTCAAAGACACCAATCTTAGTAGTTCCTTGCATAAACATGGTGCGTAGCATTTTTAAAAATGCTTGAAAGGGCTTATTTTTAATTTTTGTTTTGTAAAAGCCCTTTAAGGTTCTTTTTCCATAGGATGTTTTTAAAAAGCACTTAACTTTTCCTTTTCGAAAATGAGATTTTTCCTTTACTGTGTCAATTTTCACTGCGTATTATGCGAAAACGTGGTTATCACTTTGTTCTATTCAGCATTTTTAAAAATCATTTGACCACAATCCATTTCAGCGTAACGTCGGCTTGCAACATACGATAGCACGCCAATCATATTACATGTTTGATGACATGCTTCGGAGTTCGCATGTGCGTCTACTGAGCTGGGTTCGGTGAGATTCTTGCACTCTCATGTGCAACTCTGCTACAATTTGCAAGTTATTCCCAATTTCAGACTTCATTTACTTGAAAATGAAATTGAACCGAAAAATCTCGATCTTTTTCTTGTCGTTAATATAATCAAGAAAAGAATTCTTTGTCAGGAACTAGTTATTTTATCATGATCATGTAAAGTCTTTGAAAATTATTTTGCATTTCGTTTATGTATATAGTTCTTAAAAGTACTTTTTGAGTGCTTAAAAAGTACTTTAAATGTGCCTATTTTTTCTTGACAGATTTGGCTACATACCCTGATAAAGTAATTACTTAAAAGGATTTTAATGTTTATATTTCAGGCTGCTGTCGAGTTTTTTCTAAAAAACGAGATTTCCGTAGAAGACTTCCTCGAAAAGTATCTGGAATTACGGAAACATGCTCATCTTCGCAGAATCAAAACTGATAAATTGGCAAACATCATTAGAGGAGATGAAAGACAGAACATTTCTCCCCCTATTCGGCCGCAGAAGACAAGAACTGCGCCATCACCACCCCTTCCTTATCCTAATGCTAACACTCAAAGTAATTCACCATATGGTCCAGTCAGAACAGCTCCTCCTGTTCCTTCAAGACCATACCAATATCCTGGTAATGTTTATCCACCTCAACCAACAGCTCAACCATACCAGCCTTTCAGTTATATGCCTTCCCCATACCCTGGTTACTCTAATCCACCCCCTGCAAACTTATATTCTCAGTACAAATAAATGTTCCATGTAAGCCTTATATTTACTTCTTGTTATGATTATCAGTATTACTATTTTTCAATGTGTGTCTAATGTGATAATGTTTTTAAATGACTATTTGTTCTGGTTTTAAGAGTGTCTGGACTGAATAAGAATTAAAATGAAGAAGTCCCTACTAGCATCTGTGCCTGAATGAAACTACATATTGCAAAGCTAAGCACTATTTTTCGAACACATGTTAAGTACTTTATTAATGTATTAACTTATTATAATTTCAACTTTTTTATTTTATTTATAATTTTTTTTTATGCTCAGTAATTGTGATAGTGATAAGAAAAAATTTTAAACAATTAAATATGGCTAGGAGAATTAAAAATAATAAGCCACCTTTGTTTTTTAAATTCTTATTTATATAACATTTAGGTCTTGGCAACAATAATTGGTTCACCCCTTTAGGAATTTTGGACAAACTTTAAGAGGATCCTTGATAGTAAGATTCAAATTATGCTTACTGCTTTTACTTCTCATTAATTTTTTTTTGTTTTTTGCATATATTTTGCATGAGTGTGATGAAAAAGGATTGCTTTTTTATCAAGAAAGAGTGCACATTAATTGCCTTCAACTGGAGTTTATTATCTTGCTGAAGAGATCAAAAGAAAATGGATCATGCATTTCAAAAATTTAAGTAAAAAAGCTATCAGTCATTAAAAAAATTGATTGAAGTTCTTTTCTTTTTTTTTATCTTGAGAAAATTTTTTAAAACTAATGAAGTAATTTTCAATTTTTGAATATTTGTATGATCTCAATCAGTCTTGGTTTAATAGATTGAGAAATGTTTAAAAAAATGTATAAATGCTTTCAATTAGGCTTTTTTTTTTTCATATTGAAATTGTGTACCATTTTCACAATCAGCATTTAAAAAAACCTTTTTAGAAATAGACCAAGCTTTACCTACCAGTTTCGAATAGCTATTGCGTATTATATTACATTATTTGATAATAATTTATCTAATCAAATAATGTATTTATATAATTACATTATTTCATGAAAAGTAATTTGTGACTTAGAGACTTTAAAACACATTTCTTAACATTGTGCAGTACATTGCTGTTTATACTTATTTGAGTCATGTGCTAGTACAGAAACTACTTATCTATTGTTTGACTAAAGTTATTTGTCTAGTTTTTAACTATCGTAAGACATTTATCGGGTGCTATCTATCGGATATGGATGCTATCAAGTTCTGTGTCTTGGTTAGCTTATAGTGGACTGTTGTTACAAATAGAAACAAGAGTCATTTTAAAGTAAAGAACTGCAAAGAATTTTCCAAAATTCTACCTCCATGTCATTCATTATCTTTTCCAAATTTGCGCAACTACTGTTTGTGTGAAATGAAATTAACAATCCTTACTTGCTTTTAAACTACACATGAATGAACTTGACCTCCCTCACAACACATCTTCAAACTTTCTGATCCTTATCTTTCTTTTTATAATTAACAATCCTGCCTAGTTATTTTACTTATTGTACAAAAAAGCCTCAACCCATTGCTACTTTGTGTTCATCTGTGAAAATTTGACGAACTAACCTGGCACACTTTAGCCCAAATCACCATTAACTATTTTATAATGAACTCTTTTTGAAATTTAACAGAAAAAAATTTTATTTGCCTGATTTCATTTCGAGTTTTATCTGCTGTTAAAAACTTACTTTCTAACTCAAATTACATTTATCACATTCCCATAGGAAGCAAATCAGTTATCTATGAGTAAATTTTCTGACTTCTAATTTCCCTCTAAAGCTTGCTATAAGTTTTGGATTGTAAATTTTATAAATGTGGAAAGAAAAAAAACATCTGAATAATTTTTAACTTAAGCATGTACTAATATACAATCTTTATGGTTTAAGACAGCTGCCAAATTTATAGATATATGCAGACCATATTTAAGTTACAAAATTAGTACTTTCTCTGAATAAACTTTACTTTTTTTTCCCCATAGACTTGAATTTCTTGAACCTCATACGTGGATAATATTAAAAAATCAAAAAAACATCTTTTAACGATCAATAATAAATTACTTCTCTATTTCTATTTAAAATTATTATTTAACATAAAAAAAACACTTCAAGTTCATTTTATGATCATAAATTTAAAATATCGCATACCATTTATAGTGTCATAAAGTCTTGTATTTTGATAACAACAAAAATCCCTAAAATTCCCTATGTGTAAAATATTTAGTATATTATGCAACAGGTGTCATGAAATGTTTATTATTTCGTAAAATCTACTGGATTTTTCCTTGTGTATGTTGACAGCTATGGTGGATATGCTGAGTGTCAAGAATCTAAATCTATTGAAAAAAAAGTCTTAAAATATCTTCTTCTCAGATTGATTTAAAATCGGATTCTTTTGATCGCTTCTTAGTTTGGGATAATTAGACCAAAGGTTATTTAAGCCATTCTGTTTTTTATTTAACTCTCTTAACTAAATAGATTCTTCCTTTTTGATGTCAGACTAGCGTGATTGATCAGGTAGGGTAATGACATTGAGGTTAGAGTAGCGATAAAATTGCTATGCTCTTCAAAACAAAATGTTTTTTTTTTTTACTTTTTAAAATGACTCTTGTTGTACAGTTATTTTTGTATTGAACAAAGTAATTAATGTATGTAGCCTTTCAACTAATCCTGTTTATTGTTCTGTTAGGTTTTTTAAAATTTTTATACTATGAGCTGCCGAAAATTTCCTGTGCTTTTTTTTTACTTACATGGTGATATAAACCTTTTCTAGACGGAAGTGTGTTTAAAAATTATTAATGTGTGTGTGTGTTTTTTTTTACGCAAGTTTTGATCCTTTTATTTTTAAATTCATAGTTTTAAATGCTTAAGAAGGTATCTTAATTGCTTTATAATTTTTTTTTTTTACTTGTTCTCATTGATATTATACTCTTACATATTAAACTGCTGCAATATTTAAATGGTATATATATATATTAAAGGGAGAGCGAGGTATAATGGCTCAATTATCACTTAGTTGCCATTGTTAAAGATTGGGCTGTCCTGGGCGCAATGACCATTGGTCAGGAAATTGTGGAGTCTTAATCCCCACGAAACCTTCTGGTCCATAGCAACTGTTGTGAAAATGCTTTGCTTTATATGTACATTCCTTTTCCTAACATAAGTGTTTTTTCTCCCTATCTCTTAATTAGTGGTAAAAAATATTAAAATTGTTTGACTTTTAATGTTCGCAAATATTTATTTCTTCTCAATGCTATTTTTTTCCATTTTTTCTCAGCATTATTGACTTGGCCAAATGAATGTATGTATAAATCCTCAAATTTGAGAAGAGAACTAAAATGTTTCACAATAAAAATAGTTTTACATTCCTTACATGCAATTTTTTATTTCATGCGGATAGTTACAAATTTAAAATTCTTGTTTATTTATTTACTTAATATTTCTTAAAGCCCAGACAAATTTTTGTACATAATGTACTATCTATGCTCTTTTGTCTATATTTTGCAAATTACATATTTGTACTCAATTTTTTATTAACCCAGTGATTTATTTATTCCATAAAAACAATTGGAAAAAAATTGAATTCAAAAGTTTGAAAAATTAGTACACACAATAAACACTTTTTTTTAAAACATTTCTTAGTTTTTTATGTTATCCTCTAACTTGTGTGATAAAACATATGATATATTTTTTTTAAAATCTTCATTAAATTTATCTAATGTATAATAATGAAAATCTATATCAAAATTTTTTAAAAGGAAAAAAAAATAGATACTTAGAGTTTAACTTGCCAATTCATGACTATATTTTGTAACTAGTTTCTGGTATACAATAATAATTTTTTAAAGCACTATTTTTGACTATCTTTCACTGATATGTAGTAAAAATATATCTAAAATAAAGATCGATTAGAAAATATTCAGAAGTTAATAAAGAATGAACTAAACTCAAAAATTGGTACAACACTGTTCATATGTTTCTTCATTTGAAAAAATATATTATAAAAAAAATGCTAAATTTCATTTTTGTTATGTGCGATGTTTGACTCACAATATATCGAGTATACATACTTGTACCTTTATTTTTTTACTTATAGGTATACAATTTCCAAAGTTTTTTTTTGTGTGTCAATGTTTAACTTAATTAACTATTTTATAAATAGAGCTTAACAAGTTTTCCATTAAGAATTTTATGTAGAAATATTACGAAAATATAAATCAAAAATCAATGTTAATTAGCTATTTAGTGTAGTTACACTGATATATTACATAAAAATGTGCCATTGTGCCTTTTGTGTGTCATTTTATAGCCTATATCCCATTTAATTAAAGGCTTATTTAATGTATTTTTATAGTTACTATTTACTATTGGATTGTAAAATAAATAAATATTGTTGCAAAAAAATTTCAATGTTTCCTGAGTATTTTGTCTAATCCAATTGAGCAGGGTTACCACAGTCTTGAGAAGTACTAGAAAATTTTAAGGTGTCCTTGAAAAATATCAAAAATTCCATCTCAATCCTCCAATTTTGCCTTCATCAGATTTTTTACGTAGAACTTCACTAAGGTACACTAATGGAGTAAAGGGAACACTTTTGTTGCATTTAAACATCAAGAAAAAGAAGTTGGTTAGTTAGTATGTTCTGTTCACATTTTCCCCTTGATGAAAAATGCAAATCGATTTTCTTTTCTATTGAACACAGACAGTTGAGGAGTTTGTTTAGCTTTATAATTAACTCTGTAATTTTTACTCATAGAACAAGTTTTTATTTTCGATAAAAAATATAGTTCCCAGCTATTTTCCTTAGAAATATAAATATTAAATACTTGAGTTTCTTTTTAGGTAGTATGAACAAAGTATTTTAATGTCATTGCTTATAGTTAAAATTTTGTCTAAAATGTTTATTATGTGTGTGAGTAAATATATTATCATGTGCAAAATCAAGAGAATGTCGACTTTCACCGGTGAATATCTGAAATATTTGCTACATCTGAGTAGATATTAATTTATCCGTCAATATTATTATATTTATTTATTAATATTATTATATTTATTCAATATTTTAATATCTGCTGAGGATAGATTAAGAGAAACATCCGTGTTTGGAGTACCGGACAGTGGCACTGAACGTTAAAAAAACATCAGTGTAGGGTATACCGGGCAGTGGCACATAACTAGACTTAGTATATATTTCAGAAATTTACCAAAGCGACTGTGATTGTCGACAACCACCAATTTCGGTCACTCACAATAGCATACATTTATAAGAAAATGTCTTAAAAGGTTAGAGTTTCCAAGAAAATTAGGCTAATTCAAATAAATAAGCATGTTGTTAATTTAGACTAAATCTATTGAGTCTAAATTAATAGTAATAATTTATAACAAACTAATCTGTGTGTAAGTGAGATTAAGAGAATAATTAAGGTGTTTAGACATTTTTGAGGTGTTGTATAATTTTTAGATTGGTAAGAAAACAAAATAATTATACCTCATAAAAAGTTGTAAATGTGAGGTTGTTTTACTTACACTTTAACTCATTTTGAGGTTGTTATAAATTCACTTCATATTAACCAGATTGATGAGGTGACTTTTAAGGTTTGCAGGTTGATTTTCTGACATTTGTAACAAAAGTCATTTTTATGCGGTATAAAAAAAATTACCTTATTTCAAGTAAAGAGAGTGAGATATTTATTAGGAGGTTATTTTATTTATACTTAAGCTCATTTTGAGGTTGTTATAAATTCAGTTCATATCAACCAGATTGATGAGCTAAAATTTAAAACATATAGATTGTTTTTCTAACACTTATTGCAATAGAGGAGGTAGGAATAAAATTACCTTATTTTGACTAAAGATAGTCTGGTATTTATTGAGGTGCATGAAGTTATTTTATTTGTACTTCAGCTCATATTATGGGCATTATAAATCCACTTCGTAATTTGCTTGAAGTTGCACTTAAGGTATACACAGGTTATTAAAGTGTGGAATATGAGGTTTAGAAATTTTCATTTAAACTAGAGTCAATTGTTTATTGAGGTTATTTATTTACATTTGAGATAATTTTGGGGTTTAAGCAAAGCCACTTCGTAACAACTTACTTTATTGATGTTTAATACTGATGACCAGAAAACCTCGCTCATATCATAACGCACACGAACAATTTGCCAAAATTAATAAAGTTTCACATAAAATATAAATTTAAAATTCATTTCTCTAGCTGCATTATTTATTAAGTTTTGGGCGTTTTTTGGAAAGAAATAAAAAGGAAGTGGTTTTTTTTTTAGTAAAAGCAAAATTTTTCACATGAATGCCTTTTTGATGTTTACAAATTATTTGAATCCTTAAGGATTTTTTTTCTGTTAAAGCTGCAACTTATTAGTAATTTTTTTTTTTTTTTCACAATCAGCCTAAAATAAAATTGTGCATTCAATAAGCGTTTTGAAAATTAATAAAATGTTTGCAGCATGTTATTTATATCTGTCCATTCAATATTTATTTTTTTTACTTTTCGAAAGTACATAAAGGGATCCATTAAAGTTGTTGTTATAGAGACATAAGCAAATGAATGCACAGATTTACAGCAGGAACCGTAAAGATGGAAAAAAAATGTTTCAATTTTGCGAAAAGTATTACAGAAACTTACAGCTTTAAAGGCTTAAAAATTAGAAGATTTTAATTCATTTTTTAAAAAATTTGAGCCATATTATTAATTTTTGAAAATTAATTTTTATTAAAGTGTACACGTCATGCAACTGAAAAGTGGTTAATTTTTTTTTTTTTAAATAATTATTCTGAGGATACTTTGACCTTTTAATCATTGAGGAGTTAAAATAAAATTGGCTTTTTTTTTCAGATTTGAATGAGTTCTTGTAGAAATTCCTTTTTATTAGGAAATACAATTAATATTGTTTCATAACAACATCAAAAAGTCCTAAATGTTTTTATTTTGTTTTTTTAAGTTATAACGAGATGCGAAATATTGAGTTATTCTAATAAAAAACTGAGTCCTGCAGTGGACTGATGATAAAGACCAGTAGATAACCAAAACCAAGCATCACTGGCTCCAGCCAGTAAGCGGATGAGTGACAACTTTGCTCAGTCTGCGTAGGGACCGAGGGTGGGCTGTAGCAGTCATCACTAAACTAGTATTAAGTGCTTGACTTCACGTGCAGGTTGTCAGGCTACCAAAGCAGAGAAGCCATCCCCTCAGCAGAGGATCAAAATTGGGATGGCATGTCTTCGAGTCATCCGCAGGGATGTTTTCCAGATTGTTACCAATAGCCCATTGTGCAGCTCTAGTATGATGTGAATAAAGTACCTACCTAATAAAACTAAAAATTCAACACTTAAAAATATTTAAGTAAATTAGCTAAAGCAAAAATATTTTACTTTGCTCATAAAAAATTTGAACAACTTATAATAGTTTTCTCTTAATACAATAAAAAAATAAATATATATAAAAAAAATTATATTTATAAAATATAATTGTTAAATATTGATCATGTCTGGGGTTCGAAGCCCAGACACTTGGAACTAGCAATTTGTGGCCTCATATCACTTAACTCTACCGGTCATATCTGGTTGTCTGTCGTATAACAAGTTTTATAAGCTATTTCTGTGGTTTACCCATGGAACCATATTGTGCCACATTGTGGGTCCCCTAATTTGTCTATAATTATTTCTCTGAGTATTGTAATATAGTAAGGTATAATATAACACCTGACCAAGTTTGAAAATTATAGGTTAATATTGAAGGGAGATATGGGGTTATATATATGTAAAGTATATGAGCAATTATTTCTCCATTTTAACGCTATCATACGTATTGATAGAAATATATACAGACATATTATGCCACATTATGGGCTCCCTAATTTGTTTATAATTATTTCCTTTGGTAAAGCAGTATAGTATATCATAATATAATATCTTTTATTATTTTTTAAAATTAATACAAATAAAGTCATAAACAGAAATAAATATTTAAAAAAAAGGAAAGAAAATAAATGCCCTGATTGTGAAACTGAATTCAAAAACCAATATGACAAGATGTTACCAATTGAGAAAAAGTCTTATTTTAAAAATTTAATTTCTCAGGAGCCATTTGATCGGTTACACTCAAACTTAAATAAAAAAATTATAAATATTTATTAAAAAGTTATTTACGCAAGGAAATATCCTTAGATAAATAAATTTTATAATTGTGTGCAAAAATTTTTAAATTCGTATTAAAACCTTCTTAAGATATGACGAAATGAGTTAGATTAACATTAAGGGGTTCAAACTTTGGACCGCTCTGCTGACCAAACTGTTTGGACGATATATTCCAGATTGCGGCTACCCCCTATACTTTGGGGGTCGTGAACTTGACCTAGAAAAAGTAGGATTTTGTGACTGATTTTGTAAGTTAAAATATTGTCTGCACAAAGAAATTAGCATATTTGAGATTACCCCTTTGAACCTTAAAGATTGAATCCTAGAACGTAAAGATCCGATCATTAGATCAAAAGTTAATCAGGGTGGTCCATTTTTTATTTTAGAAACTGTACATAACATACTCTCCATCCTGAATTAAGTTTTTTTACTATGTAATCAGTTTTAAATAAGGTACATTTAATAGAAATATGGTTTAATTAGAGGATCAGATAATGTTTAACATTTACTATCAATTACTTTCTTTAAGCTTGAATAAAGTTTTTAACGAAAATCAAGTGAATTATTGATCCCTGCATGATTAAATCACAAATTAATATGTCTTCAAAACTATGTTTCTCCTTTAACATTATATCATCTTTGCTATTGCTTTTCACTAAGCATGCAATTTTGCCATATTTGTCAGATACCAGCGACAAATAAAATATCATAAAGATATTTCCGTATTGGTGTATTTCATTCCAAAGGGTTTTTGTACTTGCACAGAACATGTTGTGACTAGTCGTGTCAGGGTGGTTACATGTTATACCTTTTGTGTACCTTCTTTTATTAGTCTTTTGCATGCCACTGCCCAAGAGACAACTATTGAAAGAAAACAACAAAAGAATTGGCTACAATTTTGATGTAGGTACTGATATGGAAATCTTCCCCAGATTATGTCATGTATGTAATATAATAAAGCATTTTATTCCATAAAACATATTTATACATTTAAAACATAAGAAATTATTTCAAAGAGTTCTTTAATGCAGCAATTATTCCAATCACTACAGAAATGAGAATTTTTTAGTACCCATACATTTACAAAAATCGTATTTCTGATGTGCATGTCTATTTTTTCTCTTTTTTACTCCTTTGGTATGCCTTGCATACTGCACATATTGTATACTTGAATAAGGATTCTTTTTTCTATAAACTCTAGAGTCATTAATGGGTGGTTCATAAAACTCGCTGTGTTCATAAATGAAATGCGCCTTATGAACAGTTTTCTCTTTGACAGGAAAGAAAGTCTCGTCATACTGCACTTTTTTCGTTTTATTACCAAGAACTTCAAAGGCCTCATTAATTTCAAAAATCTTTTTTGTTGATGTCTCGTCGCCTAAGTTTCTATCAGGATGATACTTCTTAGATAATTCATAATAGGCACTTTTCACATTGTCCTCTGATGCTCTTGGTTCTAATCCTAGAACAGCATAATAGTTGGGAGACAAATTAGAAACTAACCTGCAATTCATAATTTTGTTGAAACTCATCGCACGAAAACCAGCTAAAATAGAGCCGATTTTGAACATGTTTCAACACTACAGAATACTGAACAAAGAAAAACTATCCAGAAAAATTAAATCTCATTTTATTGTAACTAGATACTTGAATTATATTAAGAGTAAATAATTGTTAACTAAAATTATATTAGATATATTTATTTGTTGTCGATCACTAAGAGGAACGTTTTTGACTGCCTATTACTGTAACTTTGAAAGACAAAATGCAAAATATTATTTAGTTTTATGAATCAAAAAGTAATTTTAAATTTGGCAACAATTAAGTGACTTTAAAAACAGACAGGGACATCAAAATGTAAACAAACAAAATGCTTTTGAAATTATGATGGAATTGTCTAAGTACTAGCATGTTTTCAAATTCTTAAAACGTCGCAATAATAAAGATGTCTGGAATCAATCTAACCTAAATAATGTTTAGAGCTATAGGAAATGGAAAAAATTGCCGACATTATACACGTTTGTTGCTTATAAAACAGAATTCCGATATATCTTTGTTCAGATACAAGTCACATTATACCTCTTTAGGATTGGAATCGAATGCATCTTCCCAAGATATTAAATCAGCCTATTATAAATTGTCCTTAAAATATCATCCCGATAAGAACAAAGGAAGTGCTGAATCGGTGGAAAAATTTAGAGAAATTTCAGAAGCTTACGAGGTCTTGGGCAATCTAAGCAAGAAGAAAATTTACGACGAAAGTTTAAGCAATCGGTACTCAGAATCGGATTGGAGACGTCAGCATTATTCACCTAGATCCTATCAGTATAGTGAACCGCGGTCGAAGCCTAGAACTGGAAGAAGCAAGTACTACAATTACGATGAGCATTACAAGCAACATTACGAAGAATATGAAAAACAACGTCAAGCTGAATTTGAATATTTTAAACGTCGATGGGAGGCAGATTTCAGACGGCGCTACCCATTTAGCGAAAAACCTGATTGGACAGAATATGAACAAAAACAACAAAACGTTTATAATGAATGGCAAGACTGGAAAAAGTCATTTTCAAGGAGATATTTACTTTATTTTTTGTCGTTGTGGGGTATATTTTTTTTATTCTCACTTCCTGAACTGGAGGTACCACCCCCATATGTTGACAAACCTAAAGTACCACCCAAGCCAATTTATTATAAAGTTAGAAAAGAGGAAGACAGTGATGAAGAACCTAGCGAAAAATGAATTTTTTTACAAAAAATGGCTAATCTAATTAATAATCTAATTAATATTCAAAACATGTTAATAGATAGATTTTAAAAATTTTGGGGGGATATTTCCATATAATGATCTGTGCTGCCATTACTATCGCCAAGGTGCTAGAAGAATTCTAAACTTGCAATTTTTTGAAAAACACATGAAGGAGTTTGCCCGAAAATTGCCAGTGCTTGGCCATTATTCTGCCACCGATCAACATACGGAAATCCTCCTAATTATTTTATTGATGTAATGGTTATACCATAATTGTAGAGTGTAATTAAAAATGCATTTCTGTGATTAATTCTATAAACTTATTTTCCTTTTTTTCCACTCTTTAAATTCGTGTATTAAATAATCTCATAATTTACAAACATTAAGCATGTCTTAGTATTAAGGGGAACAGATTTGGTAGAGTGTTTATAGGTTTTCTGTCAGTGTTGCTTGATTCAATATCAAACAACACAGAGTAAGGTATTTTGTGCTGGTAACAGTAAATTTTGACGTCAACTATGTAGTGACAAATGAGAAACTTAAAAATAAAATCACAGAAAGAGACCACCTCATAAGGTTTATAGTCAAACCATTACCTATTTTTTGGGGGGATATTAGCAAGTAAAAAACATTTTGGCACTTCAGGAATGAGAGTTGACACAAATACTGATACCATCACGATAAGGAAGTATTTTTATATTGCTACTCATTTCCCCCTACTAAAATTAACAAAAACTTTTTGTAGTTTCGAGAATTTTTTAAGAAATATGTGTTAAATATTCTTCATTTGTTTTGATACTCTGTGTTAAATACTTTTCCAGTTAGTCTCATTCTGTGGTGCTTTATTTGTTTTTCGCATGCAACTGCTTGGTCAATGCAAAAATTTTTTGGCAAAGGTGCCACTATGGAAATCTTTCCCATGTTGAACAAAGATTTACCAAGTAGCTAAATGGTTATTTTGATTTTAGAGGGAAAATAGATACGTAATATTTCATATGTTATCACAGAAAAAATATCATATTTTGTGCTGCTTAAAATATCAACATACGAAATTAATTTTACTAAATTTTGGAAGAAAAAAGAAGGCTCAAGCAGGATATTTCTATTTTTTATTTGCTCAGGTCAACTAAATTCGCCGGAACACTGCCGTTTTGCAAAATTTTTCCCTGTTTGAAAGAGATTATATGTCAATTTGTGTATTTATTAGTTTGAATTCCTTAAGTTTATGAGTGGGACCTTAAATTTATTTTAAGAAATTATTACTATTTCGATATATTTTGATTTCTATTATTTTTAACACATATACTTGTTTATTCAAAAATTGAGAAAATCATATGAATTTTTTTTCTTTGCTTTTAATTTTCAACCATTTTTAACAATACATAAGCTTTACTATCCAAAAATATCCTTAAAATATTATTGAACTTAAAAAAAACTAAAAATTTTCAGGAAATTTTGGAAAAAAAACCTTGTTTTCAGGAAATGTTAGGATCGGAGAATTTTCTGCTTATATGCCCTTGAATATTTCCAATAAATCATGATTAGAATATATACCCTGATGAGAAACTAATTATAATATACAAAAAATAAAAAAGTTTGTTTAAATGAGTTAATTTTTTTCAATTAATCAATTCAAGGACTAAATTAAGTTACTAATCAATATTTTGCACAGTTATTGAAATAAATTTCTTAATTACATGTTATTTTATTATGTTATAATAGTTTTAGTGCATATATTTTCTAGTCCATGCAGCTCAGCATCAATCGAAAGAATAGTTTGGAATTTCAGTCTTATTCATGCAAAACCAAAAAATGAACTTGTTGTATAAAGGACTTCAAAACTATTTTTTTATAGAATGCTATTTCATGAGCCATTAAATTTCTGATGAACTCATTTTTAAAATTTGTCTGGAGATTAGAAATTTCTTCAGACTTGGTAGATTGGTCCTTCCATGTTCCTTAGACTCGTTCCGTGTGTTTCATTGACATATTTGAGCCTTTAAGCACAAAATGTTGACACTACTTCCGCAAAGAATGCCTTGAAAAACAACTGATTCAATGCAAAACACCACACTCAACTCACACGGTTACTGGACTGAAGTTTCAACTTGTACAAAAAAGTGAAGCAGATCTCCTATTTATGACCAGAGCCATTTTCTGTAACACTCTAACTGCCAACCATGCAGAAATCGCAGGACGCTTGTTACATATCGCGTGGTAGCATTTAATTTTACAACTGTGATGATTTTTAAAAATAATACCTTCCAAAATGGGCTGTTTCTCGTTTTTGAAAAATATCTGATTGGATCATGATGGTGGTGGAGTGTACATTCGCAACACTCCAATACGCTGCCCCGGTTCCATGTCTTGACCCTTCCTTCTTTTCCTCTGCATAGTTGAATAGAAATGTATTACAAAATTTTCCCCCGGCGTAACATTTTTCGCATTTAATTGTCAAAAACATTTTCTAAAATTTCTGAGACGCTTTCTTTAAAAAACTATGTTTAATGGGTCTAGTCCATTTTGTCGATAGGGTCATTTTATCGACTGGATGATTTTGCATGCGAGTTGACAGTGTCATGCGTAATTTTGAAACTAGTTTTAGGGATTTACTGTAAATATTTTTATTATTACTGATTAAAAAAATACCATTATATAATTTTTATACTATAGCAAAATTCTTTATTGCTCTAATTGCCATGAAAGAAGCATTTTGGTTCTTTTAAAAAATTAATATCAGTCGGTTATTGCTGCTCTTGTCCATGGGCTTTCAAAGATCTTGATGTTTGTAAGTAGGTAGGTACTTTATTTGCGTCGCACAATGGGCTATTGGCGACGGTATGGGAAGCATCCTTGAGGAAGATGCTATTGCAATTTTGATTCTCTGCAGAGGGGATTCTGCGCTCCAAGTCATGCACTTTACGGTAGAACAATTTAACGAGGACCCTTGGCCCCTACACAAGCTGATCAAAGTGGTCACCAACCCGCCTAATGATAGCAGTCAGTGGCGCCTGCCTTTGGTGTTTTAATGGAAACTGCATCCTTACGATTAATCTACTGCAGGACCTAAATATTTTTAATTCAGTACAGTAAAACTTGTGTAAGTTGACCACTTGTGGTGCATTGTTTTAGTGGTCAACTTAGACAAGTGGTCAACTTATAGAGGGGGTGGGTCATTGTTTACTTTTTCGTTTCCTATATCATATTTAAATTTTATTTTTTTACTTGACTTAAATATTTTATTCAGAAAATATGCAAATGAATTAAGAAATGTGTTCAAACCTGAATGAACTTTAATCTGATACACATAATTCTAATATGTAACTAATTTTTTCTTAAAAAATTATTTAGTTAGTTATGCATGTGAAGTGTCTAATAAGTATAATTTCTAAAAATATCAGAACACGAAAACATGTAATTTAAAAACTTTAACAAAATAAAGTTATTACTGCACTTAAAGATAATAAAATACGCATATAAAATTGCGTAGCAATTTTCGGGGGTTGGCGAGTGTTAGCGAGCAGGGGGCGCAGCCCACTAGTTTAGTGAATTATTAGAGATTTTAAAAATGTTAAATCTTAAGACGGTTTTTTTAAGTTCTTTAAGCTACAAGAAATTAGAAACAAAGTTCAAAAATAGTTAACAGTTTAAGAAAATCACGTCGAATTTCACGCATTTCATTGCATTAAAAAAAAAAAGTGGAAATAACTAGTAGCAATTAAAGAAAAGTAAAAAGATTGAAAAATAATTGCATAAAAGTTATTTACTGCACTTAAAGATCAAAGACCATAAATAAGGGATCAAAGCATATTTCAGAGCATTCATTTATTCAAATGCTCACTATTGCAACTGGAAGAGCAACTTTTCAACTAATACACCTGTTTTCAATGAACGGATGAAAGAAATGATCAAAAGCTGACCCCTTACAGTTTCCCCTGATGGTCAACTCACAAAAGGGTTTAGATTAGTTTTTTACACTATTTCACCAAACAAGTGAAATTTTAGCATACATTGCCAAAATGTCAGAAAATTTTCTGAATTTTTTTTTTCTAGTCAACTTATGAGGGTTTTAGAATAGAATTTCATAATACTCCTAGATAAAATTGACTTATTTCAGTGGTCAACAGACAAGATAGGCAGGTGGTCAGGTTACAAAGGTTTTGCTTCTTTATATTATATAATAAAAATTCCGTTCTTGATAATTGAGGTCAACTTATGCTGGTGCCAAACTTACAAAGGTGCTCAACTTGGCACTGGCAGGTCTCACTGTATTATAATGGCTAGCGATTTTCGAGTCGGTCATTTTTTATTCACTTTTGACGCGCTTTATTTGTACCGATTTCGTCAATCCAAGTTATTTTTCAATATTTTTACTTTTCTTTAGTTGCTACTAGTTATTTCCACTTTTTTTTTTAACGCAATGAAATGCGTGAAATTCGACGTGATTTTCTTAAACTGTTAACTATTTTTGAACTTTGTTTCTAATTTCTTGTAGTTTAAAGAACTTAAAAAAACCGTCTTAAGATTTAACATTTATAAAATCTCTAATAATTCACTAAACTAGTGGACTGCGCCCCCTGCTCGCTAACACTCGCCAACCCCCGAAAATTGCTACGCAATTTTATATGGTTTGCTTCGCTCGCTACTAACTTAGGTACATTGCAAATGCACAAAATTCTAAGAATTCAAAACAATCATTCAAATCCATATAACAACTTTTTTAAAAAAAATTAGTGTTATAGGAAAACGTTTCTCTATATTACATAAAATCATAATGGTCTGATACCGTTTTCCATTGTTGTCGGCGCATTTTTATTGGCCGGAAAATCACGTGGTAGGATCCAGTTTTCCCCCATTCATTTCCATATTGTTTAGGTTGTCATCAGCAGATCACACTTGGTGAGAATGCTCTCTCTGGTTATTTCAGTTTCCGTTTTTAAAAGCGCTATATGTTGAGCCACCTTAGCTAGATTTGGCATGTGACATTTTTAGCGGCAATCATTGGTCGATTTTCTAGCGTTGCCATTCGGGGAGTTGTAATGAGGCTTTTTTTTTTGTCGCCGTGTAAGAGAAATATGTATATAGATATCCTAAATCTGAAAATATACTGAACTGAAACCCAACTGATTGCTGAATCTTATTTAGAGCTATGATGCGATAGTTTTATTACAATTCATTTTAGACCCCATACAATTTTTTTTAATTAAAATATAATTTGCATTTTATGTTACTCAATAAAATATTTGTCTATTTTTTACTTTCATTTGACAACATTTGAGTTAATTTGTTTTAAAATAAACTTCTGTATTG